GGCAAAAGTGTTTCGACAATTGGTTCAAACGCATGCAAAAGTGTATAGATCTTCATGGGGAATATTTTATATATATATAAAGTGATTTTTGATGATTAATATTAGTTTTTGTTCTCTAATCCTGAAATATAAAAGGCAACCTTCGTAATGGTTGCGTAGGTCCAAGGTTAAGTCTGAATTTGAAAAGTTCGAATTTTTTTTTCGGGGTCTTACAACTGTAAAATTAAAGATAGATTTTTCCTTGAAATGAAATTTGAATTTTTAGTAGTTTTTGCGCAATATTGTGTGCAATATGTGGAATTAAAAAAAAAAAATACGAAAACAAGATTTTTTAAAAGCGGCTCCAAATTTTGTCTTGAACTTTTGGTAGGGATAGTGCAAATGCCCTCTGTAAGGTGACATAAACGCCATATTGCTCTATTCTTTTGTGTTTTCAAAAATTACCTACACGTTTTTTTTTTACTTATCTCATGTCATTACTATTTACATTAACAGCAATTTGTTGAAAATATTGTATTTATGAGTACATGTGCTTTAAATAATGTAATATAAAGCTTCTTGAAACTCAACCGTTTTCTGTGAAACTAGCTCAAAATTTCGCATTTGAGAGACTCTGTTTTCTCAAAAACAGCCCAACATTTTTTCTTCTAACTTTTCAAATGGATAGTACTAATTGCATTCTTAAAGATGAAACAGTTCATTTGTTGTTGTTTTTTTCATAAATCACACAAATGTAATATTTTTGAAAGATCTCTCATGCTGGTAATACGCACATTTCCAGCAATTTGTTAACACTATTGTATTTATTAGTTACAGTGACTTAAATTGATGTTTTTTGAAAACTTTAACGTTTTCTCTGGAAAAGTGGTTTAAATTTCAAATTGTTGCGAATAAGCACCAATTTCTTAATAATCGCTCTAAATTTTGCAAGAAAATTTCCATTTAGTATGAGGTTTTACTGTTTTTTAATATTTTTAAAATATTTGTTCTACTATTAGGCAACCAAAGAAAATACTTTGGGTGGCGATAAATGGCTTCAGTCAAGAGTATGTGGCAAGTGTGAATATTTAGCTGAGACCAAAGGAAATAGAAAATTACTACGGGAAAGTCTGTGCCATTCTGTGACATAAGTAGTTGCAGCTAATGATCGGGAGTAGAAGTAATTGTCCATCCATAATCTGAGACCCTTATTTAGCAACAACTGTTAAATTTAAGGCAATTTCTGTTGTTTCATTTATAGTTTTTTCTGACAGTTGCAATATTTTACTATGATATGTAGTACATAGAAGATGATGTATTTTGAATTGATTGTTTCTGTAAAAAACATCCACGATGAAATTAAAACACTTAAATCAATATTAAAATATTTGTATCAAAAACCACTCGAAAAGAAATCGAAAATTTGGCATAACACACTGCCAGCGTCTGTGTATGGCACCGCCAAGCAACTAGCATCTGTAGATGGCACACCACAAATGAGATGAAAGACAGGTAAAGGTCACTTCCGCCCTGAGATGTCTTACCAGGAATGGAAAGGAAAATCCATCCCGTCTAGGTATGGCACTCTGCATTTAGAAGAGAAAGGAAATTGCCGTCTACAGGCGACATACTATGCTGAAGGTTTAACATGTGTTTTGAAATTCTCTTCTCATCTTTCATTCAATTCTTATCTTTCTGAATTAATCCCAAGGCATTTCTCTTGCTCTACCATGTGCCCCTTTTCTGGTAGTGGAGAGTGGTCATTCATCACCATGTGTATGATAATAATTGTAGAATGGCACTATTTCCCCCTAGTGTAGTGGCATCTCAGGGTTTCCAACCCACCATGCACCTCTTTTCTATCCTGGCTGGGGTGGCATAGGGACTTGCATGAGAGACAAGTACACTTAACACCTACACAGTGCCATTCCCTGATCCTGTCCATTGTGGCTTGGTCGGACAGACTTGGTCACCATGCATCTCCCAATAGCATGCATGCTGCACATGTGTGTTCGCATCCCATCTAACTTTTACCTTCTCCAAAGCTTGTGAGTGCTTCATTATAAATTGAGAGAAGTGAAAAATATTTATTTTGGTCTCTTAATGGTGCTTTATACATTTTATTTGGTTTATTTTCTGTTTTTGTTCTCATTCTTTAATAGAACTATATTGAAAATAATTATTCATTTTGGGTGAACAGGTGCATGACTTACTTCCACCATTAATAAAACATCTGGAAGCTGGTCCTGTGCTACATCTGTATGCATTATTATGCAAGTTGGAACCACGTGACCACACCGAGCAGAGCCTATATCTTGCCTCAGCACTTATAAAGTTTATATGGACCAGTGGTGGCAGCTATGGGGGACAGCTAGGTGCCCTAGGAACTGCAACAGATGCATCTTTTCTTGGCCTTGGGAAGGCTGCTGCCTTGGCAGGCCTTAAAGGTCGTCACCGTGATGTCAGTAGTAGTGAGAATAGCATTTCTATGGAGGCCAGCAACTCAGATGAGGAACAGGTATGAAATAGAGGTCTACAAAATGTTGTTCAAGTAAGAGGAACCATTAAAGCCAAAATCTTTGGAGTAATTCGTCTCTGTGACAAAGTCAGTATCTTCTTGAAAATCATAAATCAGGAAATGACAGATTAATGTCCCAAATTTACTTAAAACAGAGTAATTTTTTAGCTAGGCTATGTGCATTTAAATTAAAGAAGTGTAGTAATATTTCTTGATTCCTCTTATTTATACTTCTATTATGAAATTACTTGTTTTAATGAACAAAAGACATGAGGCAAAATAGTTGACAATTAAAGTTGAGGTACTCTTAGTTGTTGTGTTTAACTTGTTTAAATACACTTTTTTGGTCTATATTCTTAATTTCAATGCCATTAGTTATCCTATTTATTTTCACATTTTTATTTTAATTTTGATTTCTGTAAGTGGGTGGAGTGAAATTGAGTAATTACCTATTTCCATTAAGTATTTTTGTGATCAATCACTTTAACTTTTGGCTGTCATTAATCCTCCATAAAATGTTTCACTTCAAAGTAATTGGGGCTTTTTATAATCAAAAGAGCTACAGTTTTAGCAATATTAAATGAAGATATGAATCTATTAATTTAAATTGAATAAATAGTTTGCATTGGCCTTCAGGTTTGTACACATGGAGATATTCTTTGCGATATAATGTATCATTGAAATATTATTTTGTATATTTTACACCCTGTTAAATGAATAAATGAAGAAAATTTATGAAGTCATTAAAGTGTCATCAGTAAATATGATATATTATTTGTTTACTACATTGACAGAATGTCTGAAGAAATTCTCACCATGATCGATGTCTTTTTGACATCCTTGACATGTTGCCTAATTTTTTGTTTGAGCAAACATTAAAAAGGGATCTATTTGCAACATCTCTCTTATGTTGGTAGAAATTTTCTTTGCTTCTGAGTAATTTTTATTTCGAAATCAAATGTGAGGCATATTTGAACTGGTTAATTTGAGAAAATATTTCACAATTCATTTTGCACATAAATCTAACTGTATTTATAAAATACTCTTCTTTATGGTGGTTCTGCAATGTATTGTTTTTGGTATTTCATGCAATGTGAGGGGCATTCAAAAAGTTCCTGGAATGGTGGTTCACCATGTTAATATTGTAACCCATGGCAAGGATAATCTAATCTCCTTCAAAGTACGTCACTTGCACACCCATACACTTGCTCCATCATTCCTGCCATTGTTGGAAGCAACAGTGGAAGACTTCTTTCAACACTTCTCAGAGCTGAGCCATTGCATTCAATTTCATGTTCTCCATGAATTCAAAACTTCTTCCTTTGAGGCTCATTTCCACAGTAGAGCACAGCAAATAGTCACTGGGAGCGAAATTCAGAAAGTATGATGGTTAAGGGAAGACCCGAATGTTTTCTGTGAGAAATTTCTGCTCAACAAGCAATGTGTGGCTTGGTGCATTATTGTGATGCAGACACCACTTTCCTTGCCACTTGATCCAGCATTTCCTTTGCAAGTTTTGCAGAAACTATGCAAAACGTGCACATGGATATTTTCAGTAACAGACTGTCCAGACAGTACAAACTCTTTGTACACAAAACTGTCTTTGACAACCGAGTTTTTGGTCTGAGTGACACTGGACTGTGCCATTCTGATGATTGCAGTTTCCAGATCCTAGGCGAACACCCAAGACTCGCCAGTTATAAACTGCGGTTTTCTTTAGTGGTTTAACTTCATAAACTTGCTGCAGGGCTGATATCATCTCACTAGCCAATTTTCCCAGCTTACGCATGAACTTAACTTGCACAGTGTTAGAATTATATTATTATGCTGACGGATCACCACTCATTTCCACGTGACACCACTGCATATTGAAACATGTGTAGACCTGTTTTACCTACATGTAAATGTACTCAGCCCTTTATGACAATAATGTGAATGCTGTCTCATTGCTAGTTTGGCAACAGCAAAGCAATTCCAGGAAATTGTTGAATACCTTTCATATATTGGGTAACCAATTATGTGTATAAATATTATATATATATATATAGCGTATAATGATTATATATTATTATATAGTATATATATATATACTTATATATATTATATATATATATATTATTATATATAGTATATATATAATGTATTATACTATATAATGACTATTATACCTGAATAAGGTTTTAATATGGCAGATGCATCTGACACATTGATGTGGTGGAATGCAGGTTTGCCAGCCACTGCTGTGTGTGCAGGCAGATAGTTCACAGCAGAGTGACCTTCATAAGACTCAAAGTGAAACGAGTGAAGGGCCTACACCATGCAAGCAGCCTCGAACTCATAAGAAACATATTGTTCAGACTGATGGGGATGTTGATAGTTCTGATGGTGAGTTGAGTTGAGTTTATTTACTTCCGGTATGTAGTAGAATTATGCTTTACTATCATTAATAAAAATAAGATGTGTTCACAGGTATTAATCATTTGTGCAAGTGAATGGCAAACCTGATAGTATGTTTTTAATTATTTGCACTGTTGACCAATACCTGTGAACCTGTCTGGGTGTGTTAGTAACTGTACATTATGTTTATTTTGTCTTTTTCATATAATATGATTTAAACAAATTGTTAAAAGAAATGATTTTTTTTTGTTTTGAAAAATCAAAATTTGGAAAATTTGATAGCATAAAATGGCTTAATAAGGTCACATGACTTATGCTTGCAGCATTCTGGTTTGATCCCATGTTTGGCTGATGTAATGATTTCCTTTGAAGTGTTTGTTAATAAAAATAGCTTACTAGTGATGTGATGATTTAGACATTGTAGGAAAGAGCTGTAGTCAACATTTATACTTGCCAAGCGGTGAACTTCCTAGCCTACCAATTCAATCGAGTTGAGTAGCATTTAATAAAATGGCCAGCGAGTAATTTCAGCGAGACTATTACACTCTGATAAAATTTTCAATTTCACAAAATTACACAATTGCTTATTACATAATTATTAAGCATTTCACATTCACTGATAAGTATCAGTGAATACCTTCTAGGGCCAGAAAAGGTTTTTTCAAATTTCTACTACATGGTGTTTAAGTTAAGAAAAAAGTGAAGGGCCATTATTTAGTCGAAAATAAGATCTCTTTCCAATTGTTTGAAATCTCTCTGGAAAAATTTAATAACTACTGCGAAGGCTAAAAAGCAGTCTGCAAGTAGTGAATTTGGTAGTTACATTACACACATACCTACTCGCACCAGCACATTCACACACTCACACGCGCTCACTCAGATGCGCTCACTGACGCACGCGCTCACTCGCGCACACTCACTCACACTCGCACACGCACAGGCGCACGCACACTCACTCGCGGACGTACTCACACTCGCGCACTCACTCGCCCACGCACACTCGCACACGCACACTCGCACACGCGCACGCACATTCACACTCGCGTACACAGATTCACGCACGCCCATGTACACACTCACGCACGCACACACACGTGTACTCATACACAAGCGTGTACAAACGCACTCAAGTACTCACGCACTCAAGTACTCACTCACACATGTAGTCACTCACATACACTCACTGTCACTGAAGGATATATAACAAATGCTGAAGGAGTTTGTATATTTGAAGCCCTTGAGAGTATTTATATTCTGATGATTGTATAATTTTATTCTACAGGCAGTGCCAAAATTGAGGAGTTGGATGATGAGGATGAAGAGGAGGAGGATGCACGGAGTGATGAGGCTGTGCCAAAACGATCATGTAGTCCAGCTGATAACCTAAGTAGTTGTGCTCATCAATGTAAACCAGCGTAAGTTACGTAATCTTTTTGGAGGATGGTTGGGACAAGAGAAAAAATGTGAATGTTAGGGAAGAATTAATGGTAGAATGTGAAGATATGATCTGAACATTGAATTTAATTCTTTATTTATTTTAAGATTCTACATATTATTTTGTTAAATTGTCAATTCATAATACCATTCTTAACCATGAAGAAGTGGTGCCTTTTTGCTTATCTGAATTGACACGGCCATTTCTAATCCCCACAATTTTTTTTTTAAAATCAGTTGTCTTGATATCTGAGGCTTTAGTATGTATGTAAGTATTCAGGGAATTCATATCATGAATGCCCAAATACTGCTCAAATGAATGCAGACTAACTTTGCAGAAATTCTGTTTTTTATTTTTATAACAAGTAATGTACTTGAAAAAGAACTAAACTGTTAAATACCAACAGATTTGTAATGCTAAAAACTGTGTCAGACTTGCGTCATTCACAGTGTGATTCTAATGTGCAAAAAGGAACCTTCTTCAGAGCTTATTCTGGTTTACCTGAAGATCCTAGAGAGGTAGTTCATCAGAGGATTCCAAGAATACATCATGAGTGACACAGTTACTTTGCAGTGCTGAGTTTGACTTGCTAATAGGTTACCCTATAGTATTCACTTACTCCAATGAATTTCTTTTTATGTAACTTGTGTTTTGACTGAATTTGACTGAACTGAATTTGAAATTATACCGGTGAAAGGATGTGTGTGAACCAGTTGAAGAAAAAAAAATGTTCATATGGAAATGTGTTTTGTTGTAACAATTTTTAATTTTATTTTTTATTTATTTTTGTAATGAAAAATATAAATTTGAAATTAATTTTTAGCAGTTAATTATTCTTCAAATCTTCCTTTTACATTTTTTACATATAAATATACATACATAATGCCAAATTTAAAATAATATATTTATATTGTAATGATGTTAAACATTAGCAAGCACTATGCAAACCAAATAATCCATGCTCATTCTGGGTAGCTATGGTTTATAAACCTTTAAAATTTTAACAGATTAATTTTGGGAGACTGGAAAATGACATACTGAAATATTTTTTTAATTTAAAGATATCTAGGTCCTATGTCCATGGAAAGATGTTTAGTGTTTTTATTAAGGTTTCTCATAAAAATGTAATAGATAAAAGGTATCAGATAATTCAAGATCTTTTTCTACCAATGATTCATAGAAATATCTGAAATAAAATTGAGGGGCTTGGGGCAATTGCATGAAGTCACACCATCCAAAGCAAGCCTCCCATTGTTCATAAATGTTAATACCTCTAATTTAGTTGAAGTCTTCTGAAGTCATGAGGGTGAAATGTGACTGATAAGCTATTTAATGTTAAGGTCTGGAATTTTTTTACACTATTTTTTCGTGGCAACTTTGCATTGTACTCACTGTACAATAATAAAGGCAAAGTTGATTTTCATTTCATTGAATGGAGCAGAAAAAATTGTACAATTACACACAGTTTCATTTGTTGTGCGATAATGGAGAATGAAATATTGTTTTCCAAATTTGCAAAACTTTTACTTTACGCTGACAGTTTATAGGGTCAAAAACCATCCAAAAACCAACTATGTCTCCTTTGAAGCTACAGATTTACAGTTCCTTTGAGTCACATGTGTCCCAGCTTACAAACTTTCATCAATATTTGAAATGATTGTGTGGGGCACTTCTCCAAAATTAGACTATTTAACATGGAACTGTCCCCATACATTAATTTTGGGACAGCTGGAAATGGCAAATTTTTCATTGCAAAATTGCCACTTTTTACCATCTCATGAATTCATGTAGTAAGTGAATAGCATTCTCTATTAAAATTTTTTGCACTAGTTTTGAAGAGACAAAGGTTATTCTTGAATTTTATGTCATCTGGTTACAGGTTGAATAGCCTAATTATCACAAATGTAGTAGGGCTTTTCTTGACTGAGTTTATGAGAAATGAAGATTCATTTTTCGGCTCTTCTATTGATAGATTACAACTTCATTTCCATGAGCAAATAAGTACTTTTATTTTTGAAACAAAGTCCCTATTATTTCATACGTTCTGTATATCACATACCTTTTGTATTTCAGTACTAATTTCTTTGGTTTAATACTTTACATACTATTTCCTTGTAGGTAAATGAGGAAATTTACATACTAGACAAATGTTCACATTCATTATTTTGCAAATTAATTTCATAATTCTATCAAAGACAGGTAGAATTTTGCGAACTTTTCTGTAGTTATCTACTTCTGCTCTAATATCTTAAATATGAAGTTATTGAAAAAGTGAAAACGTGTGTTGTATTACAAGAGACTAAATCAATCTTCAGTTTTTTAAAACATTTTCTCTAAATAATTCACAAATGTTGGGAGTGCTTCCAAGATAATTTTTCTCTTGTGCTCCTCCAAAATCCAATTAAAAGGCAGTTATAATTGAGAGCTCTGTAAACAAACATTTATGTCAAATCATTTACCTCGTAAAGATAAAGAAGAATACAGAATACAGCTGCATGAGTATTTGCATTAAATTAAAACATATTTGCCAGCTACTCATTAATTAAATAACGTATTTTACATGAGTAGTGGAAGTATGTTCAATTAGGAAATGAGTAAAGAAGAAAGGAAGTAGCCCAAATGATATTTATTTATATTAATAAGAAATTTTAATAAGAAATTTTAATAAGGAATTTTAATAAGAAAAGTGGTGATGTGCGGGATAAAGCTCCACAAGAAATCTGATATTTCTGTGTTAATTGACAAGAACTGAGGAGTGTCTGGGACCTTGAGAGTGAGGTTTTTGATAGATAGTTTTCCTCTTATGAGTTTACTTCAGTTCGGTACCACCATTATTGCTAAGCGTTTCATGTGTCCTTTCATCTTGATTGAGTTACTAAATTGTAAATGATTCTGTATGAATTGTTAAAAAGTCATTGGAAATCTCTTGAAAAATTCAAAATTATAAGTCATCATAGTAGCTGATCTTCTACCTTATGAGCTGAAATTTAATTGAAAAATAGTCAATCATGTTGGTAGTTCTACGGTTCAGTATTAATTTTAAGCTTCTTTAGCTATCATTTTACTTTTATATATGCCTGACAAGATAAAGACTGCAGTTATATCAATTCATTATTATCTCTTGAGTTGAAGTTATTTGCTTTTTTTCAAGTTAATTTTGTTTTAGAACATGTTTTAATAATTTAGTCACACTTGTGTGTGTGTGCGCAGTGTATGCAGTGTAGCCAAAATGGGGAGCGTTGGGAACAAGCATCACACCAGCAGTGATAACGAAGTGGAAGCTGATGCTGAACGTTCAGGTGGAGATGAATGTGTAATGAACCAAACTAAAAAAAGGAGAAAAATGCTTCGCAAACGAAAAAAAAGTAAAAAAGGTAAATAAGACGTTGTTTTGTTCTTTTTATTTACTATAAACAATTTTTCTTCAAGATATATCTATATTTCCCCCCATATTCATGTTTCTAAGATCACGCTCACACACACACTTTGCTTCTTCTTGCCCTGCTGTTTATTGGCAGCATCTTTATTGGAAAGTGGCCCAAATACTTTCCCCTAATGTTAGGGATTGGATTCCTCGTCTAAGTCGTCATTTGGCATAGTAACGAGCTTCAGAAGTTGCACAGTACAAAATTATGACAATAATTTTCGTGTGGAATTAATCCTTTGTGTGCACCTGCAGAAGTAACAAGGTAATATGAAATACTACTAAAATAATTTTCATACATAACTATTATTGGAATTGTTTTGCATTTATAGAGAAAATGCCTGTATGCAATCGTGGTAAGCGCCCGGAATGTTCAGATGAGGAAGAGGAAGCAGAGAGTGGCCTAGAAGAGGATGCAACTGTGAAAGGAGCTATTGGTGCTAAAGATGCTATTGTAGGTTTGGAGCCTGATCAAGAGGTTCCTAATGTTCTGGTCAGGTAAGTGAAGTAGTATTTGTTCTTTCAATTCTCATATGCAAGTACCTTAAGATTTTTAAATTTAATGAAAACCTATTTTTTTGTGTTGTGGCACGGCTTTTATTGCATACAAATTATATTAAAGCTTATTTATGAGATCAGTCTGGAATTTAATTGAGATTTTTCTCATGAGATTTAGTACTTACCAACAGTGAAAAGCTGAAAACAGTTTTGTTAACTGCAAAATACTCATGCCAAGCAGTTGATAATTCAGGAAACTTTAATTACATTAAATGTCAACCTTTAATTACATTATAATACCATAATACTTTCAGAGTTGCATGACTTGATATCCTATACCAAGGGTATGATAATAACTGAACATACTTACATCCTCTGGATATAGTAAACTTCTGGGGACTAATTATTTTGATTCACTATTTCAGAGGTTCACTATATCTGATGTCTAAATAAATAGAATTCTCCACAATGATTCATTTTATTAATGTTGAGATACAGCAAAATACATTAGCAGCATGAATTAAAAATTTCAATATTTTCATTCAACCTTAAAAAATCAATTATTTTCAATTGTTTGGTGCGTATTTTTTTTAATTACTAATTTTTCTAGATCCTACTCCAGAGTTTGTGCTCTCTCCAAACTTGATTCTGCATTGTCCACTATCTCTGAGGATTCACCTCTTATATCCTCTCCCACTCTGCGAAGGCATTTACACCCTCCATAACAACATACCAGATTCTTTTGGTAGAGCGATGGTGCAAGCGGCTAATGAAACTGATCACTTTTCCGCGTGGCATGGTGGGTGTCGCCAGGTGTGGCATTTGCACATTTCCTGTTGCTTGCATAGAACACCGTTTGCTTTGTACTGTGGAATCTCAAGTAACATCAAGTTTGAAACTGGAGCATGCATTCCTGCATCACCACCGCCAGTTGTAGCCCATGCAGACATGGCCTTTGTTTCCGTTTTAAAATTGAAAGGTATAAAGTCATCAGTAAAGTCTTTAAATCCGTATCCGATGTCTTCTCAGAGAAGACTTGACTTTGGTTGACATTCTTTCCAAGCAGCCCAGAGTTGGAATTTGTGGCATTGAGGCAACGTTTTTTCCAGGAGGGTGTTAATTTTCAGGATGTTGTATTCCCAATGTTCACTATAGCCAAGGTTCACATTTGAGAATCTTATTCCGCTTATTTATTAATGGTATTGTAAGTGAAATGGGACCAGTGTTTTACGTTCACTATAACTGTTGGTTCACTATAGCTGGAGTTGACTGTATCTCCAAAAACGAATGCATAAAACTGTATAGTTTAGGAATGAAAGGAAGGAACTAAAAATAAGTTATCGTTATATTAGAATATCTTGTCAATTTGCAAACTCAACTATTTAAAAAAAAAATGTATATATGTGTGTATCATATTTTTATGTCTAATCCATTACAAAAGGTTATTAGCAACATCTACACAATAACATTATTTTAGTATATGGAGTGTTATGACACTTTGAGAGGAAACATTCATATCACAATATTAACCAGTTTATACATTTTTCTTATCTGTACTTTGTACAAGTTTATCCCCGTTAAAAAATTGAGAAACCAACTGCAATGTTCTTTGTTTTTTAGAACTTTTGCCATGTCATTATTGACACCATGTCTCGTCTGGATGGCTTCAAACCTGGGGCACAGAAATACATAATTAATGTACATTAATAGAAACTACTCATAACAACCATTTTCCCAGAGATCATATGAGCATATGTGAGCTTGGTGTGACCTATTCTGCATCTAGTTAACACAACCTGGTCAACTCTGCAGAAGGATGTGGCTGGATTATAATCCTTGTATTTATATGTACTTCTTAATTTGCAGCTAGCATTGTTGTTCCATTCCTGTCTGTCCAATTCTGGTAGTTTTCTCTTGATGCTGGCGTGATAGTCCTGTGGTATTATGGGAAGGTTGCTTCTTTCATCAAGTTGTGACACCTCATTTGCAGATCTGTCTGCCAACTCATTCACGATGATACGTACATGAGCCAGGATCAATCCAAAAACTTATCTCTTTACCTTTAATGTTTGAATTTCTTATCATGCTAACAATGTCTAAGACTAACGTATTTCCAAAGTAAAAGGCATATCCAATTGCTGACAGAGCCAATTCGGAGTCTGATACTATCAGAAATTTACATTTATTGTCTTCGAGAATGTAGTCTAGTGCGATGATGATGGCGTATAACTTGCTGGACCAAACAGAGTACTTGTCGGGTTTGCTTGAGATTACCCTTGTTGGAGTTAAAGCAGCACATCCCTCCATGTTGCTACTCTTTGAGCCATCTGTGTATACTTTGTCGTAGTTCTGTTATTTGGAAATTTCTTCTATCCTGGCCCTTATCACTTGATTGTGAGTTTTTGACTTCTTCAAATTGTTTTTCAATTCCTCAGCTTAAATGTTCTGTTTTGTCCATGGTGCATAGTCAGTGATATTGACAGGTTTAATTGGTGAAATTGTTTCTGACATTGTGCTTAGTATTTGTATTGCCTGTTCAGCAATTGGTTTTAGCTGTTTCTTTTTGAAGCATAGTTTCTTCCCGTGTCTGTATGTAAGCTGGTAAATTTGGTTCATAGGGTTGCTGCAGTTTACTGTAACTTTGATTATATATTCTATGATTAGATTTCTTTCTCTTTTAGGTAAATTAGCTTCCTGTAACATGCTTATCTCCGGGCTTGTTCTATATGCTCTGCATATAAGTCTGGCACCAGTGTTATTGATAGAGTATTCTTTTAATATTCTTATTTGCAGCATTGTAGAATATGCTGCTGTAATCTATTTTAACCCTGATCAATACTTGATATATTCTTCTAAGCACTGTATAATCGGCCCTCAATGATAAGTGGCTTATGATTTTCATCAGATTGAACCTTTTGGCGCATTCCACTTTTAGGGTTTTAATGTGAGGTATCCAGGATAGCCTTTTGTCAAGGGCCAGACCTCAGGCTTTTAAGGTTGTACATTGTTTTATCTTATGTTCATCCTGGTTCAGAAATAGGGTCTTCTTGCAAAACTGTCTTGTTCAAAGAGACTAAGAGTTTCCATGAAAACTAAAATTTTATAAGTAAAGAAGTGAATATATGAAAATAATGAAAGAAATAAAGGTGCAACATCTTGTCACATATTTCTCATCTTTGTCAACTATCTGAAGAAAAGTTCTCTTCTTTTCTTTGTGAAGCTGGTTAATCATTGCAAATATTTTCATGAACTTCTCACATTCAGCTGTATATAATATATTAATACATAATATAATGCTATGTGAAAAAAATTAACTACTATGAATTAGCGTGTGCAGCACAGAGTGCTGCCCTGAAATGCCTTTCACTAAACAAACCCATTTACTGCTGGTCCCTGATATGATAAACACAGGTTGATGCAATCTATTAGCCAATACTTAGACTATCTCAAATTAGAGTTCACCAATTACTGTGCAATGCTTAGAGAAGTACAGGATGTTAGGAAAGTCGTTCTGCATGGAGCAGAATTAGTGCTTCCTATTAAAAATTGCTTTTCTGTTGGTAGCGACCACATTCCTGGGAGAAAGTGAGAAGGACTACACTTCCAACATTTATTATAATTGTAGTGAGTAGGGAATTCATGTTTTCTTTTCTTACAAGGTGCACTTTGCGCTACCAACATAATTTCTGTTACACATCAGCAAGGTGCTACTGCGGAGAGACTTTTCTGGTGTGCTATAGTAAAACTGATACTGCAGTAGTCAGTGCTGCTATGTGCCTGTTGGAGGGTTAGGATACATAATTTAAAGTTTTTATATTTGGTTAATAGTATGTAGTTTTTTAATAATTTAATTTTAAATGATAAAAATATCAAAATGCCCAGTGCTTTGAAAAGCGTGGACTAGCTTACAAATTAGTATACATGTTTAATAATTCGAATGCTCTCAAACTGTTTCAGTTTAGTTTCGTAACCTTGGTTAAAACCCCTTGCTAAATAGACATAAACTGGTCATTTTAATTTTTCTTTTGAGAGCTAATGCTATACAAGTCCAGCGTGAGAAATGTGCCAGAAATATTAATGCTGGATAAGTCTGTCATGGGTCGGTCTTGTCCTAATACTGGATATCTATGATATAGCATCTGCTTTTTGTATGAATTGTTCAAGAGCAGTACAAGCTATTGACTTGTGATAATTCCTTGGGCTTCCTTAAGGAACTGCAATGCTTTTGCTTTCAAATCTGACCTATTTATTGCACACAAAGAGTTTAAGTTCAGTATAAATATCCTTTCCATCTCTACAATGAGCTTTGGGACAAGTTGACTGCAGAATAAAGTGAACTTCATGGTTATGGGTCAGCGTGCAGGTGAAACCAAACTTCAAAATACAGTTTATAGCTCTTGCACTTTCCCTTGCAGAAACGGCCAGTTCTGTTTCTATACACCACACCTTGTGTATATTCATCAGTTAAGATTTTATACTTTATTTCTTATGTAGATTATTATTAATGGACTGTTAATTCTGGTTTATGATGATGAACTATTTACTTGTTTCATTTCAATTTTGGTCTGTGTGTTTTTCTATTTGTGAATTGTGATTTTGAAAAACAATGGAATATGGGATACTGGTATATATGTGTTAATCAAGACTAAGTACAAGTTCTAATTAGAAGGAACAGTGAACACTAGGTTTGTTGTACACTGAAAATGTCTTCAACTTTGTTTCAATCCTCCACATCATGTCACTGGCTGAATACAACTGTTCATAAATATCGGTGTACTATTAATGAACTGTTGATAAATAATTATATGTATTAAAAATATAATTATATTGTTATAAAACTACCCATGAAATATACAGTTAACTACGTTGCACCCTCGTGTGCTCAGACATGTGCTAAAAAAGAATTTTGGCCCACTTAATTCTTTTCTAGCGTGGAGACTAAATTCTTTATAAAGCTGAGGTGAACTCAAACGTAGCATCAAAGGCTTGCCGCTCAAACA